CCAAATTTTCCAACTACCGGTGATTCTTCTTTGTTTCCAACTTTTGCATTCCAGTCACCAGTGATAATTAACACATCCTGATTGCATGTTTGGTCATTGGGGCTTTTTTTCTAGGATTGATAAAATACAGTAATCCATAGATTCAGGAAGTACAGTGAATCCCAATCGGGATAAATAAAACTAAATCCATAGACCTAGATTCATCACAGTGAAACTGCAGAGCACCACAGACAAAAAGAAGATCCTGAGTGCTATAAGTAAGAGGGAGAGAAAAAAAAAAAGATGTATGATGATTTGACTGACAGCACAAATGCCACCTCCTCCAGCTGGGCCTGATCACATATACCTTAGGGGTCCATCAAAAGCTCTCCAGGCTGCCACTGAATACTACCACTTTCCTCTCCCGTCTTTACCTCCTCCAGCCAAATACAGTCCCAAAGGCTGGCTGGAGCTCTATACTCACCTGTCAGTGGCTGCAGCTGAACCAGGGCACAGCCAGAGCCTGTGGCTACCACACGGAAGTGGCTGAGGGTCCTCTTGACACCTTCCAGGATGTCTCTTCGGGATGGGGGCTTTACTGGAACTACCTGCAGTGCCAGTCCCCCCGCCCCCACCAAATAAACAAGCATCACACATTGCCTGGGAGCTTTAGCTCCACCCAGACCCTCCCTGAGCAGTTTAAGAACAGGGCCACAGTATAGGAGTGGTCACTTGCCTATCTTGAGACAGGAGAGCCAGCCACCCCAAATCTATACCCTTGACTCCTAAGCAAGGAAACCCGTGTGGGAGGACCTCCCTCTTCCTCAACCTGACTCACGAGATCAACCCCATCTGTGTGTTCCAGTTTCAGAGCTGCTTGGATCTTCCCCTCAAAGGTAGCTGGGATCCCATCAGTGATGGCACTGCAGGGAAAAAGGGGCAAGAGGAGGTCACAAAATGGCCTGCTGGGACCTCTCTACCACCCTGAGAGCCTCCCAGAACTCCTCACCAGTAGGTGGCTGTGGGTCTTTGGACTCTCCGTGAGTGAGTGAAGAACTTCTGAAGGTGATTTGTAGTCTGGGGACAACTGGAAAGGAGTACAAGCCCAGAGCAATCCCTGGAGGAAGGAGACAAATTACACAAGTTAAAGTCTCTGTGGGGTTCACCCACAGGAAAAGGAGACCCCTAGAAGGAGTACTAACCTGCTCAATGCCAAACAGTAACACCAGCACTATAATAACCCAGACATCCTCCTGAGGAATAGGTAAGGCTTCCCCTTGTTTGATAACATGACTATGTACTTTAATGTTTTTCTTATTTTTCCCTGGTCCCTAGGGAACTGAGAGCCAAAAGTCATAAAAAATATTACCACCATTTGCTGAGTGTCTAAGATGTCCTGGTGGCACAATGTTTAAGCACACAGCTGCTAACTGAAAGGTTGATGGTTCAAACCCACCCAGCAGCTCTGAGGAAGACCTGACAATCTGCTTCCATAAAGATTATAGCTTAGAAAACCGTATGTGGTAGTTCTGTCACATGGGATGACTATACATTAGAATCGATGGCACAGAATGACTGAGTGTCTGTCTCCCTTGTGTGAGACACACTATACTAGGGATTTTATATATGTTAGCTTTTTTCTTTTTAATTGTGGTGATAATACATGTACTAAAACATTTGCCAACACAACAACTCCCACATTTACAATTTAATGACATTGATTACATTTTTCATGTTGTGCCATCATTATCGTTATCCTGTTCCAAAACATTCTACCACCATTAACATAAACTCAGTGCTCCCCAAATAAAAACTCTCCCCTCTCCCCACCTCCGGTAATCATTAATAATCTTTGGTTTTTATATATTTGCTTATTTTATATAAGTGGAATCATACAGTATTTGTGCTTTCTGAACTGATTTATTTCACTCAGAGTAATGTTTCCAAGCTTCATTCATTGTGGCATACATCAGGACTTCATTTCTCTTTATGGCTGCATAATATTCCATAGTGTTTATACTGCATTTTGTTTATCAATTCATCTGTTGACAGACATTCAGTTGTTTTCACCTTTTGGCTACTATGAAACCTACTGCAATGAACATTAGTGTACAGGTTTCTGTTTGCATTCCTGCCTTCACCTCTTTTGGGTATATACCTGGGATTAGGATTGCTGGATTTATGTTAGTTCTTAAATCATTAAATTTCACAAGCCCATGAATTTGTGGACTTGCAGAAAGATTTTCAGCTCAGATATCATTTCTAATCAATGGTGGTTGGAGGAATGAGTATCATGGATTGACTAGTGATGTTTGCCATGGCTATAGAATTGGGAAAGTGCCTGCACACTGAGCATGAAGTAGGTATTATTATCTCTGTTTTACAGTTAAAGGGACTGAGGCTCAGAGATGTTTTGTTCTTTGCTTAGGATCACATAGTTTGTGCATGGAAGAGTTGGAATTGGAATCCAGATCTGTCAGCTTCCTTCTCCTTTTCCTAGTCCTCATATCCTACTTCTATGATCCCAAACCTTTCTGTGGAAATTGTCTTTTCTCATTCCCAAGCATCTGTCTTTTCACCCAGGCGGTTCCTTGTCCTCCTACCTTCTTATTACCTACCCCCTACCACTTACTTCCCAGGTGCTCGGACAACCTGGAGCTCTCGCTCCCTGAGCCCCAGGGACTGGCTTAACTCTGGCAGCACAGAAAGCAGTGTCAGGTCTCCTGGTTTGCCTAGGAAAGAAGAAGGATAAGTACAAGTTGTGCCCAGAGGCCAAAACTTTATCCCACCATCACTTTCTCTTCACTCTTCCCTCCCCTCTAGACAGGAAACCTCCTTTCACAGCATTCCCTTCCCCTGCCCTCTGTCCTTACCTGTTACTGGCAGCCCCTGTGGCTTGTTGACTGTCACCAGAGGTCCTGAAACACATGATTTTACATGAACATCAGCAAAAGCAACAGTTAACCTTTCTGCAACAGTTTATAAAGTACTTTCTCATTTATGTTAGCATATGAGCTCATAACAACTTAGTCAAAAGTTATCAATCCTATCCTAAACCGAAGTTTTTCTGTCCCTTGAATATGCCAAGTCTGTGGCTACCCCAGGACCTTTGCACTTGCCATTTCCTCTGCCCCAGACTTTCACATGTCTGGCTCCTGTATATATCATCTTGGCTCAAATGTCATCACCAGAGGCCTGAAACCCCAATGTAATGTTTGCTCTGCTCTCGCCAGCGTCTCACCATCACAATACTCTGTTTTACTTTATCCATAGCACTTATCACTATTAAAAGAGTTCTGGTGGTGTAGTGACTAAGACATTTGGCTGCTAACCAGGTCATTCAATGGTTCAAACCCACCAGCTGCTCCACAGGAGGAAAATGAGGCAATCTACTTCCATAAAGATTTACAGCCTTGGAAACCCAATGGGGGTCACTATGAATCAGAATTGACTCGGTGGCAATGGGTTGTTTTTTTGTTTTTTTTTAAATCACTATTAAGTTCATCCATTTCTCCTGCTAGAATGTTGGCTCCCTGAGAGTTGTTGTTATGTGCCGTCGAGTCAGCCCCGACTCATAGCGACCCCTCCTTGGGTTTCCGAGGCAGTATCACTACGGAAGTAGGATTGCCCAACCTTCCTTCCGAGGAGTGGCTGGTGGGTTTGAACCGCCAGCCGTCTGGTTAGCAGGCAAGTGTCTTAGCCACTATGAGAGTAGGAACCATATTTATCTTGTTCAGCACTGTATAGACAGTGCCAAGAACATAGCTGGTACTCAATAAATAATAGTTAAGAAAATGAATAAATCACTGAATGGAGAAATTGAGGCTCAGAGAAATTAAGTGATTTTCCTAAAGCCACACAGCAAGCTGGTACAGAGCCTAACTGTCTGACTCTAAAGCCTGTGTTTCATCTATTAATAAACAGTAATTTATTATTATATAAATTCCCATAACGAATCCTACTGTGTGCAAGGCTCTCTAGTTACTAGCTCACCCCCACTCAAGCTGCTAGTGGAGGCACAACTGGGATTTGAACGCGGGGCTTCTAGGATTTCAGACCCCTAGAACTTAGGAACCCAGCCAGCCTTCTAGAAGGATCAGAACGGCAGGCTCCCCTCCCGGGTCTCTGTGCAACTCTCTCTCTCACCCCTCACCTTTTTGATCCAACACGGCTGCCCTCAGCACATCAACCAGCTCTTCGTGACTGAGGTTCTCCAGCCGCATCAAACCCAGGAATGGCTGGTCCCCGGAGCGTCCCGACCATTTACTGGAGGCTCGAGGTTGTAGCTGATGCCTGGAAAGGAAGGCAGATGTAAATGGGGGATGTTTCCCGGTGCCACATTCCTGTCTCCACACACCTCTCCCTCACACACCATTCCTATCTCCTGCTACTTCCTCAGATTGCCTGAGCTGAACTTCCCAAAAAAGTCAGGTTCAGCTTGCCCCATTTTATAGAGTAGGGAACTGAGGCTCAGAGAGACCGAGTGACTTGCTTAGAGACACACAACAGAGCCATCATTACAGCTTATATCTACCTAACTCCAAATCCTGCACACACCCTTCCCCTGCCTCTCTCCCACACGAGAGGAGGCCATAATCACCGGGCTTTGGTGCCAAAGCCTGAGGCCTTGGATGCTAAGCGAAACCCTAGGCTCCGCCGCCAGCCAAACCAGACCTGGCGCAAAACACTGCAGCCAACCATCTCCGGCACTAAGACAGTGAGCATGTGCGTCCAGAAGGACAGCCCTCGAAGCGCGCTGATTGGTCAGATTGGCTATCAATCGGAATAGCCAGGAGACAGCGCCGAACAGTGAGAAGGCGGAGCTTTGCTTCTTCCCGGGAAGGAAATGAAAACGTTTACTCTAGGTGGTTTAGGGAAAACTGAGGCACTGGGCGGGACAAAACTGAGAGGAAAGATCAGAGTTTTCTGATCACCGCTCCAATTTTTATGAGCCTTCTGAGCTCAGAAAAACACCATTGTGCACAATTTCGTAAGGCAAATTGGCAAAACACACATACACATCCCACACAAAAAATAACTTACACCCTTTAGTCTAGTAAACCTGCTCCTAGAACACAGCCCATTGCATAATTCAAAAGGAGAAAAAGGCCAAAGGCATCAAAATTTAACTACAGAATTTATTTGTTAAAGCAAAACAAAACAAATTTCAAAATTAGGAAACAAATTTGTCCTGCAGTGGGATCTATAGGCAAAATAAAATTAATACATAGCTCATTCAATATTTTTTGAATGCTAACTCTATCCGAGGAGCTGTGGTGAAGTAATGGTTTAGCACTGGGCTGCTAACCGAAAGACTGGCGGTCGAAACTTACCCAGCGAAACCCACCTCAGCAACTCTGCAGTAGAAAAGACCTGGCCAACTGCTGCAGTAAGGATTACAAGAAAACCTTATGAGTGAGTTCCATCCTGTCACATTAGGTTACTTTGAGTCGGAATCAACTCTAAGGTACCTAACAAGAACAACAGCAAACTCTACGCTAGACCTTGGCATCTCTGTGCTGGAAACACAGAGGATTGGGGTCACAGCATTACTGTCCCCTTGTTAAATGCTGTGCAGATGCTGAGGTAAAGAAGAGCAATGATGGACAGAGGTGAAATCAGATATCAGAGAGTTTCCAAGCAAAAGGGCCATCTGAGATGAACTGTGAAAAACTACTGTAATAAAAATCTACCAGGAGATAAAGGTGTGCAAGGAGGAGAAGAAAGGGGTAAGCAGAGAGAGGAAGTAACAAGGATAAATGAGAAGATAATTGTTTTTATGTGCCATGGAGTCAATTCCAACTCATAGTGACACCATATGACAGAGTAGAACTACCCCATAGGGTTTTCTTGACTGTAATTTTTATGAAGCAGATTGCAAATTCTATAATTATAACTATATAAAACCTACTTGCAGCCTGTGTGTTTACTAAGAGCACTATAACTTTTTCAATTCATTGTATTAGCAAAAATTGTAAGTAACTTAAATCCATCAACAGAAGACTGCTTAAATCAATTGTAATACAATTGATTCTGAAAGCCAGAACCTGTGTAAGGCAGAAACCTACCAGAGAAGGAAAACTCAAATATTTTCCACTAAAACGAATGTTAAAAAAAAAAAAAAAAATAGTAAGATTGCTCCCTGTCAAAGGCGGAAAACTTGCGAGACCTAGAAAAACAAGACAATCCCATTGAGTTCTGGCCCTTAGAGGTTTCACTGTATATCTCTACCATGAAGCCATTAATAAAAATGTATAGTACTGCTAACCAGAAACTGGCGATTCAAACCCACCAACCACTCTTCACTTCTGTAGTGATACTGCCTTGGAAACCCAAGGAGGGGTTGCTGTGAGTAGGATCTGATTCCATGGCAGTGAATTTTTTGTTTGTTTGTTTTAATGTGCTAATGTGAGTCTATCGTCAGGATAGATCAAAAAAGCAAAGTGTAGGAAAAGAACATGCATATATATGTGATTTATGCACATATACTCTTATGTTCTGGAAGGATACACAAAAATGATATGGTGGTTGTTTCTGGAGAAGGAATAAGAGGTAGGAAGATGAACTTACGATTTTTATCCTCCTGTACTGTTTAAACTTTTACCTCATTGATGTATTTCTTCACACATACACACACACACACACACTTGTTAGGTGTTGCTGAGTTAATTCCAATTCCTTGTGACCTGTGCACAACAAAACAAAACACTGCACAGTCCTGTGCCATTCTCACAGTGGTTGCTGTGTTGAGCCCATTGTTGCAGCCACTGTGTCAATTCATCTAGTTGAGGCTCCTCCTCCTTTTCACTGATCTTCTAGTTTACCAAGCATGATGTCCTTCTCCAGGGTCCAGTCCCTCCTGATAACATGTACAAATTATGTGAGATGAAGTCTTACCATCCTTGCTTCTAAGAAGCATTTTGGCTATATTTCTCCTAAGACAGATTTGTTCATTCTTCTGGCAGTCCATGGTATATTTAATATTCTTCACCAAGACCATAATTCAAAGCCATCAATTTTTCTGCTGTCTTCCTTATTCATTGTTCAGCTTTTGCATACCTATGAAGCAACTGAAAATACCATGGGTTGGGTCAGGCACATCTTACTCCTCAAGGTGATGTCTTTGCTTCTTAACACTTTAAAGAGGTCTTTTACAGCAGATTTGCCCAATGCAGTATGTCTTTTGATTTCTTTTTTTTTTTGTGTGTGTGTGTGTGTGTGTGTATGTGATTTGGGTGAAAGTTTACAAAGCAAATTCATCTTCCATACAGCAGTTCATACACATTTTGTTTCATGACATTAACTGCAATTCCCCACAATATAACAGCTCTCTTCCCATTTCCTCCCTGTAGTTACCTCTTCTCTGTGTCCTTCTTTCTTATGCATTCCTGGCCCCCCTTACCCCAGCTATCTGGCTGTGTAAGCACTGCCCTTCTGTTCTCCCACAATTGATCACTCTAAGGAATGTATCTACCTGATGTAAATGTTCATCCTATATGCCTGTCTATTGTTTGGCTGGAAGCCCCAGGAGTGAGTTCAAATCCAGACCTGAAGAATAACTAGGGGCCATAGTCTCAGAGGTCTCACCAGGCTCTATCAGACCAGTAAACCTGGCCTTGTTTTATGATTTTGAGTTTAGTTCCACATTGTTCTCCCACTCTATCCAGGATCTCCTGCACTGATCCCTTTCTGAGTAGTTGACCGGGGTATCCAGGAACCATCTAGTTCTTCTGGTCTCATGGTCATATAGGCTGAGAATCAAATGGTCTACTAGTCCCTTGGATTAATTGTTTCCATGTGATTTTGGTTTTCTTCATCCATTGTTGCATCTAGATGGCTGCTTGCAAGCTTTTAAGACCCCAGTCGATACTCACTAAGTAGAATGTAGAACAATGTTTTTGTGTAGTATTTTATGCTAGTTGAGCTTGATGTCCTCTGCAATCATGGTCTCAAACCACAGGTCACCTACTCACTCCTTCAGTGTGGTTGGCTGTGGATAAGAAGTTATCATAACTTTGCCCCTTGTTAACTCTATTACATATATGGACATTTTTATAGCACATACAGATGCGTATGTGGAAACACTGTCTGCCAACCTTATATATGATCACGGAAATATTCCCTTTTGCCTAGACATACCTGATCATTCAGCCTGTCTATCCATCTATTTACCCATAGATTAATGTTTGTTATCACTGATAACACAGTATTATATGTGTAAAAGGATTTATTATTGTTGTCTGTACTCTTATGCACCTCTCTGTGTCTTCCTTTTCATTAGTATTATTGTATTGTCCTTTGATTTCTTGATTGCTACTTCCATGGGTGTTGATTGTGAATCCAAGTAAAAGGAAATCCTTGACAACTTCAATCTTTTCTGCGTTTATCATGCTGTTGCTTGTTGATTCAGTTGTGAGGACTTTTGTTTTCTTTATTTTGTGGTGTGATCCACGCTGAATGCTGTAGTCTTTGATCTTCATCAGTAAGTGCTTCTGCTATTCTTAGCTTTCAGCAAATAAGGTTGTGTCATCTGCATATCGCAGGCTGTTAATGAGTCTCCTCCAATCCTGATGCTACATTCCTCTTCACAGAGAGAGGGGAGTTTGGGACAAATACTATGCTTCCATCCCCCACCCCCACCTCAATCATTTATCAGTAACTTCACATGAGGGGTAAGTAGACCACAGTTTCAGCAAGGGTTGATGGGAATATCTTCTGTGCTAGGGAAAACTTTGGTGGCGTAGTGCCTAAGGCATTTGACTGGTAACCAGAAGCCTAGTGATTCAAACCCATCAGCCACTCCTTGGAAGGAAGATTGGGCAATCTACTTCCATAGTGATGCCACCTCAGAAATCCAAGGAGGGGTCACTATGAGTTGGATCTGACTCGACAGCAGTGAGTTTGGTATTTTTTTTTCTGAGGGGAAACATCAGGTCTTCAAGCCAGAAGGCCAGCCCGTGGAGCCAGCCTAGCCCTGAGCTAGGCCTCCAGCCAAAACTGCAAGAGCAAGAGCTCAGAATAGCAAGTACTCCTACACTAGTTTGGCAGCTTTTCCCACATAGGGTTACAGGGTTCTGGGTCAGTTGCCTGCACCAACTCTCCAAACTCTAGCTTTGGTAATCTGGCAAACAGTGCAGAACTGCCCCATAGGTTTCCAAAGTCGTAAACCTTTATGGAAGCAGATTGCCACATCTTTCTCCTGTGGAGTGGTTAGTGTGTTGAACCCCCAAGTTTTTAGTTAGCAGCTGAGCGCTTAACCACTGCACCAGCAGGGCTTCTTAGCTTTATAGTAAGGGTCATGAAATGAGTTTTTGAATCTGAGTGTCACAGACTAAAGCAGTCACCTTCAAATCCAACCTTCCTTGCTTGTCTTGGTTGCCCGATCAGGAGAAATGCCAGCTCACACTGATGAGAAAATAATACTCTGTAGCTCCCTAACAGCTTGCTGTGAAATCCTGAAAGTTCTCAATGGAAAAGGTAAGCTGACTGGCAAGCTAAGGTAGGCATAGGAAAGCCGAGTTACACCTTGATTAGTGCATTCCCCACTTAAACACTTAATTAGAAGAGTGCCTTAATTGTACCTTTTCCATTTAAACCCTTCTAATAGGCAATCTAACTTGGAAATTGTCACTTATTATATTGAGTACATGGTTTGCTCAAGTATCAGATTAAACAGACTTTTGTTCCAAAATCAACTGCATTTATTTTTAATAGAAAGTGATATCCATTTCCTGTAATCCATAGTCCATGTTGGAATCCCTGAGTGGTACAAACAGTTAACATGCTGGCCTGCTAACTGAAAAGTTGGAGGTTTTTTACCCAGAGTGCCTCAGGGAAAAGGCCTGGCAATCTATTTCTGAAAAAATTAGCCATCAAAAGTCTTATGGAACATAATTCTACTCTGACACACATGAGATTGCCATGAATCAGAGTCAACACAACAACAACCTTTTTTTTTATTTTCAAGTCCCATGTTATGGCAAATGGTTTGAAAACAGATTCCTTTCCTCCCTCAGGCCTTTATAACTTTTCAGACAGAAGGCCACCCCAAAGAACACAGGTAAAGAAGATGTATGAGCGTAAATAATTTATTATATACTCTCTAATATAATACACTAGTGGGCTTGACAGTCCACACAGGAGTATTTGGGATAGGGGAACCAGGAGGTAGGGAGTGAGATGGGAGCATAAGATATGAACACAGGTTTCCAAGGGGCAGACTTAATGCCCCTTCATGACACCTTCATGTTCAGGGAGCCTGCTCATGACCAATTCTTGGTCAGCTAAGCCACCTTGGGCAAGAAGGAGCTGGGCCAGGCCAAGAACCCACAGTTCTCCTTTGGCCAGCCTACCCCGGATTTCCAGCCTGTCCTCCTGCTTTCTCATTCATGATCCAGTGAGCTGAGGGAGATGTGGGAAGGTAAGCTAGCTGCTAGGCTTACGGATTCCGAGGCTAAGTATAGGCTCCCCAGTCTAGTCCTTGGCTGGGGAAGGCCTCCAAGGACTTGAGCCTTCATTGCATTATCTTCAGACAGGTCGGAATGAGGGACAAAGCCTTGCCCTTGGGGTTCTGCCCTTCCTCTGTGGCATCCAGGAGCTGCTGCATGTAACAGGAGGTACCAAGCAGCACATGGCCTGTGGCCTGCATGCTGAAGAGGGCCCAGCGAAGAGCTTCCCTGGATGGAAAGAGAAGTCACTGGGTCAAATCATGAAGAATACCCCTCCTACATCCCCTTAAATGCCTTTACCTTCTTACTCCCAGCCTGACCTGGAAGAAGTTTTTGGCAATTTGCATCACCAGTGAAATGGGAGTACTGCTGAGGTGGTAGGACTAAAAATACTTTGTAAATTATAGAGTGATATGCAAACAGGAACACATACTGCCTGGCCTCAGCAAATGGAAAGGGGTCTATAGGCATTATATGAAATGAGAAGGTGGTTCAGCTGTCCAGAACCTCACTTTCTCATGCAAAATTCAAGTCCATTTAATAAGGCTTTTTTTTTTTTTTTTAATACTCCCTTGGAATAGTCACATTGGTCTATAAAACATGTCTCTCCCCTTCATGACACTCTGTCCTAGACTTCCAAGTCATTTGGAATCTAGCAACTGAGGAGAAGAGGAAATTGTCAGAAGAAACTGGCTAACAACCATGTTCTTCCATTCCCTAACTTTGAGGCTTTGGACTAATTATAGCACCTCAGCCTCAGTAGCTAGTAGCTACAATCACCTAAGGAAGTGAGAATTTCTAAAAGCATACCTGGAGCAGTTAAATTTGACAAACACTACAGCAATAGAGGGAGCTCTGGTAGCATAGTGGCTAAGACACTTTACCCTCAGAGTGGTTGTCAGGGCAGTGACACTAGCCTGTGTCCAGGCTCTCGGGAGCCATAGAATCCTGGCTGGCCTCAAAGTGCTGAACCTGAAGGTGGTTCCAACATTTCATCTTACAGGTAGGATAGCAGAGTAACAACTGGTTTTGGCTCTGTAATCAGAGTATAGGAGCTCTGGTAGCGTAGTGCCTAAGACACTTGACTGCTAACCAGAAGGCTGGCGGTTCAAACCCACCAGCCACTCCTCGGAAGGAAGGTTGGGCAATCCTACTTCCGTAGTGATACTGCCTCGGAAACCAAAGGAGGGGTCACTATGAGTTGGGTTTGACTCGATGGCACACAACAACAATAGTATTTGTCTTATGATTTAACATATCCTTATGCTTCCTGAAGGCACTCTGGTGGCATAGTGATTAAAGCATTTGACTGCGAACCAAAAGGTCAGTGGTTCAAATCCACCAGCTGCTCCGTGGGAAAAAGATGAGGCTGTCTGCTTCCATAAAGATTTACAGTTTTGGGAACCCTATAAAACCAAAAAACCAAAATCACTGCTATTGAGTCAATTCTGACTCATAGTGACTCCCATTGAGTTTCCAAGGTGGAAGTAGATTGTCTCATCTTCCTTCCACGGAGGGGCTGGTGGTTAGCAAAACCATCAACTTTCTGCTTTGCAGTCAAATGCCTTAGGCACTGCACCACCAGAGCTCCTATAGGGCAGTTCTACCTTGTCCTAAAATGGTTGTTACAAGTTGGAATTGGCTCAATGGCAGTGGGTGGGTGAGTGCATGCTTCCTGTGATACTTAAAATTTGAATCAACTTTTTAAAATTAAAAGAAGTTGATTAGAGAATACAAATAACTCTTGTCCATAGACATGCAAATAAATTCTGCCCTATGGAGGGACAGTTGATTTCCCTCCTACTTTCTTGGAAAAAACTAATTTTATGCTTGTTTATGTCAGCATTCTTGATGAAACTCTGTCCTGGTAGGACTTGGAATTCTTCTTTGAGCTGACTGAAAATTCTTGCTGGTTCTTTTACTAATGACTTAAATAAATCTTTGACACATGTTCATTTTTAAAAAGTTGATTAAAATACTATTTAGGAAAACTTACTATTTTAGATTAAAAAAAAAAAAAAAAAAGTTGCTATAGGGACTGTTAGCACCATCAGTTGCCGTGGAGTCGATTCCAACTTGTGGTGACAACCCCATGTGTTGCAGAAGAGAATTGTGCTCCATAGGATTTTCAAAGCTGTGACTTGTAGGAAGCAGATTGCCAGGGCTTTCTTCCAAGGTGCTTCTGGGTACTTTCTAGCTAATAGTCAAATGCTTAACTGTTTCCAGTACCCAGGGACTCTGGCTGTAGTGGAAGGTATTTATAAAAATTAAATCTATCCAAAAATAAATAAAAATCATTGTGATTCCACTACTAATTAAAAAAAGGGGGGGTTGGGCAGGGATGATGGGTTTGAATCTGGGCTTATTTTCCTGTCATTTTCAGGTCTTAGTTATTATGTTTCTGTGAACAACATTTGAGGGGGAGTATAAGTTTAAGAAATAAATATTCATTTTAACATTTGCAAAAACAAACAAATCAGACTGGTTCCACCAGGAGATGTGTATCCCTTTGGCATACAGTAGTGTAATCCAAAGCACTTAGTTAAGCCATTAAAGTTTTAGACAATGCTAACTGTTATTTTTTTTCAGAAGGTGGAGGTGGTTGTGAGTAGACAGGTCCTCTTCCTTTGCTGAACACCCACCCTGTCTCCAGCTAACCCCAATTCACTCACTTCATGATACGCTTGGCCCCATAGCAGTGTAGATCATAGGAAAGGGAGTATGTGCCATAGAGAGTTGCCTTCACGTTCAGGCAGCCAATGAAGTCCTGTGGGTTCATCTTGTACAAGTCAAAGGTTACACAGGCCACATCAATCTTCTTGGCAGGTTTGTGGGAGAGGGAGAGTTGGTACCCCTGCATCAAGACAAGAATGTGGTTGGTTACCCCAAGGCTTTCTCCTTGGGTGTCCAGTTGTTGCCCTACAGGTAGGCCCTCACCTGTTTTGATGAATACTGCCATTTCTGTCCCTTCTGGAGCACTATGAACACTGTGTCCTCTGCCAGGGCCTGGAAATAGTCTTCTGTCTCTACAACTGTGCCATCTTCCTCCAGCACTAGAGAGAAGGGCTTGTCTGCCAGCATCAGGGTGTCTCGGACCTGGGGAACAAAGTTAGTGCTGCTTCAGCCATCCCCATGGAGCCACAGAGCTGGTGTATGGGAGACCCATATTACCTCAGCTTCCAGGGCAAGGGGTGACCTAGCAGAGAAGGAACAGGTGACCAGGCTCTATGGGATGGAACTGAAACCCAGGCTCTCTGTTGTGGGATCATCATCCAAAGACTTTGTCATGGTACCTCTTGGTACCTGCCTTCATAGTTAATACTCTAACTGTATTGTCCAATAAACATATAATAAACCAAAACGAAACTCACTGCTGTCAAGTTGGATCTGACTCATAGCGACCCCTCCTTGGGTTTCCAAAGTGGTATCACTACAGAAGTAGATTGTCCAACCTTCCTTCTGAAGAGTGGTTTGGTAGTGAAGTTGGTAGGTTTGAATCTCTAGCCTTCTGGTTAGCAGTCAAAAGCCTTAGGCACTATGCCACTAGAGCTCCCAAAAATATAATAGGAGCCACATATTTAATTTTTAATTGAGAGATAATTCACATACCATATAGTTCACCCTTTAAAGTGTACACCGAATGATTTTTAATATATTCACAAGGTTGTGCACAGATCACCACTATCTAATTCCAGAGTATTTTTTTACCACATCAAATAGAAACCCAACATCTGTTAGCAGCCATTCTCACTGCCTGCTTCTTCCAGCCCTTGCCAACCACTGATTTACTTTCTGTCTCTATAGAATTGCTTATGCTGGACATTGCCTATAAATAGAACAATACAATATATGATTTCACCTAGCATAATGTTTTTAAGGTTCATCCCCAAGCCCCAAGTTGCAAAACAGTACTGAGTCCAAACTCAAGTGTGAAAGAGCCCTTTTGATTCAAGGAATAGGAAACATAACCTGGCACAGCCAGAAGCCTCAAAAAGGATGGGAAATTGACTTCTAGGAAGAACAGACCTAACTCAGGGAAATGAAGGAGAAAGCCTAGAATATGGGGTTAGACCAGCTATTATGTCTATGCATTAAACAGACTAGTAATTGGAAGCCTAATCCAAACATTTGTTCTGTGCCAGGTACATATGCGGGTGAGAAGGTTCCCACACCTGATACGCTAATGGGGCAGTGACATACATGGTCACACAACTAATACAGAACAAGAGTAGATGCGGCTGTAGGAGAATCAGAGGGAGAAGTCACCACCAATTGAATGGAGAGGGAGGAAGCAGGATGGAGGTGGGGGAAATTAAACATTCTTCCCAGCTGTGTATCATCCACAATAGCTGTATGACCTTTGTTTCTACCTCTGGAAATTTAGCTGATCCATAGTTTCCAGAAAATCTTCCAGTTATTAATAAAGTCTTACATAGAAAACCAGTGTGGAAGGTAGATCTAAGGAGTCCCTGGGTGGTGTAAACAATTAATGCACTCTACAATAACAACAACAACAACAACAACTGTTAACAAAAGGTTGGAGGTTTGAGTCCACCCAGAGGGGCCTCAGAAGAAAGGTCTGGCAATCTACGTCCAAAAAAAAATCAGCCTTGAAAACCCTGTGGAGCACAATTCTACTCTGACATACATGGGGTCACCATCGGTCAGAGTTGACTTTTGGTAACTGTTTTTGTTGGTTTGGTTTTGGTTTTTCTCTTGCCCTGGGTGAATGTAGAAGGTGGAGATTTCTAAAATTCTGTTCAGTTCCTCAACTTCCAGGCACTTCTACAAGTTGATAAACTACTGGAAAAAAGCACTTGAGAGCAAGAATACACTCTGTATGAGAGCTTAAAATCAGGGACACTTGGTGCGTGTAAACAGAGCAGTCTGAAAGCTGAGAAAGTCTTAACATGAGTCTAGAATCCATGTTGAATTTTAAAGCTGTCTTGTCTAACAGCAGTTCCTCTAGCCTTGATGCTGACCATAAACCCTAAAGGAAGCATTCCTTTTTCCCTGAGGTCTGGCAGGTACAGTATTATCACTATCTATTCCCAGAGGGTCTTTCCACTATGGTCAAACAGATGCAAGATACCCAAAGCATCTTGAAGCACAAGATTATCAATAAATCTTTACAATGGACCCCCAGAAAGAGACATGCTTGCAAAAACTATTTTTATAACAGGTTACCTGAAAAACCTGTCCTGCCATTGTCCTGTGATCATCCTGTAATAAACTGAAGAGCTCGCGATCATGTACCCTTAACCAATCATGTACTCCCACTTAGTTTTCATTTATCTACCTATCCCGGCTAAATCCCTGCTTTTAGATATCCCACCTTTGACTTCTGATTATCTTTCAGCCAATTATAATTTTATAAGTTTTAGTTCCTGCTCCAACTGTACTAAAATGTTTTCTTCCTCATTATCCAGCAGAGAAGCCATCTTCACTCTGTGAATTTGGACATCTTCCTGGTCCAGACCATCTCTATCCCTCAACAAACCTCTTTTTCTTTTATTTAAGGAGACTCAGTGATGTTGCTCTATGGCAGCTCTGAAAATACCACTGATGATGAACTGTTAGTGTGGAATGGCAAAATACTGCCCTCTTCCAAATAACAGACATTACTAATTGTTTACACAACTCTCCTCCAGGCAGTCACAACCAATCCATTGGAGCTGGCATCAGAGTGAAAACTATCTCACCACAAGCTAAACAATTAGGTATGTCTAAATGGAGAGTGTATCCAAGATCATATATAGGGTTGGCAGACAATGGGCCTATAAGTTCATGTGAATGATCA